AGTCATTTTTCGGTTACTTTGCTAAGCTAAGAATTGCCATTCTATTCTCATTTCACTGCAGTTCGCTATTTAGTGAATACATCCTTTGGACATTTTTTTTCTCCTCTGATTTGATAGAAAGCAATTGCTTAAAACACTAACCTGTATACATTGATGCACTCTGCTGAGAGATTCTGTGAGTTCTGCTCTCCTAAGGTCTGCTTGACTATAGAACTATATTACAGACCAGCTCCAACACATTGGTACCTACCTACTGATATCCTGATTTTGTGTGAAGTCTTAGATTTTTATCTCAAAATTACCATTGATCCAAAATAAGAGCTGTCTGTTCCAAAGTTCAAAATCCCAGCAGTGAATAAAAAAAAGTGTATTACCTTTTTGAAATACCAACTGGTTCCAGTTAATATTACTTTATCCTCAGCAGATAGATTGATCTGTCCATAAAACCCATTTTAGATTTTTTTTTTATTGAATTCTCCCCAAACTCATCAGCTGATCAATGTTGTATAAAATAACAGTTTAACACTGTCACATTCTAGAGTCAAAGATAGGGGGCACAAGAGACAAGCACTTGAATTGATAAAATGTTACTCTGGCCAACAGACAATATCACAACTACCAAAACACACACACAAAAAAAAGTAAAAACACATATTATTCTTTATAAAGGAGTAATAAGGAAAGTGACATTAGTTTTGTGACACTGGCTTTGTATTCAGCCAGCAACCCCATCCCTCTAGACAGCTTAGCCAAAAGATAGGGCAAACTGTAATTAGTAAGGAGTTCCATCATTATAGGGCCATGCTGAGAATTTCTGTTAAATAATGGTCTTAAATTAGTTATGATGGTAAATACTCATCTGAAAATTTAGCATCTAAAACCATCTCAATTCTGGATGGGGTCCAGCCTTTCTGTAATCTACTATAATACAGAAATTGCTATCAGTCACAAACATCTCATGGTGTTTTCTAGGATGTTTTGTTTAAGAGCTGCAGAGATGTGTTAATTAAAAATTAGCCCTTAATTTGTTTGCTTTTTTGGCATATTCATAACAAGTAATTAGGATGTTACACATTGCAAAGACTGGAGTTTACCAAGAATCAGTGTTCAACAACAAGACTCAAAACACACTCATTTTATTGTTAAATATGCACTTCCACTAGGACCCAGGGAGTTACAGAGCAAGGTGTTCGCCTAATACGGGTTCCCTCTATTTTTTATTATTAAATATACAATTTTACATGGGAATATTAAAGAACAAAGCAATATGTTCACATAATAGATTCCTCTCATTTTTACTAATAAATATATATTTTCACTAGGGCCTGGAAAATACACAGAGCAAAGTATTCCCTTATTGCTAAATTATGTGGGGTTTTTTCTTATTACTGAGTAATTTGATTATTATTATGATTATAATAATTATTACTATTGTTATTGTTTTTAGGGGCTTGGGAACCAAGATATTTCTTTTAATAATGAACTTGAATTTTTAAATTAAAGATTCCCTTTCATTAAGATCTAATGAACTGCATGAATAGATGTTCTCTAAAAAAAAAAAAAATTGTATTGTTGAATGTGCAACTTTCCTAATGTTTCAGAAACCACAGGGCTACCTTTTCTCTACATCTTCATTTTTTGTTTTGCTTTTAATGAAGTCAAAATAAGGCAAAGCATCTCTATAGTTAAATGGTAGATATGCATCTTCCTTAAGTTGCACTATAATGCATGTAGCTCCTGCAAAACTAAATGATAGATTAGACAGACTGTCTGCTGTATATGTATGAATTCAATAAAACCACCATAAATGGTCCTACTCCATATGTCTGATGCCCTGCTGGGCAGATACTACAAGTTTAGATGGGTTAAATAATACACTTGTGAGGTTTGGGGAAAATACATCTATGAAAACAGTAGTTGTTGGACATGGATATGGTTGAGAAATCCAGAATATTATTTAATTTATCTGAACGCCCCTTTCTAGTAGAAATCTTTGATGTTTAATGAATTAATAGAGAGCTGCAGTCCTCTCTCTGTGTAGGTTTAAATCTGCAAGAACAGTGAGCACTGTATCATCCCATCTGCTTATCATTCCAAATTAAAGTTCAGAGAGGCAGCTTATATTCTGTTGATCCCTGTATCATAGCCTTTCACGACCCTTCAATTACTATTTAATAGAATTACAGTTTTAAATCCCAATAGTCTTAATGTGTGTTTTTTTTCTTACTTTTTTTTAAATACATATTTAATAATAATAAAAAAAATATGTACAAGGGGACATCCACTACTGAGTGAATGTGGACACATTGAGATTGTGATCCACAGTGTAATAATGAACTCATTTATTAGAGGAGGTTCATTGTCTGTTATGTAGTGTCTGTCAGTACTTGTGATCCGTGTTAGTCAGTTAGTTTGATACAAAGAATCGCAGACAGACATGTGAGCCCTGTGCTTGTGACATCTCTGTCTAGCAAGGGGTTAACACTGTGTAAACATCTGATAAGAGCAATAGCTCACTGTACCATATCAGCTCTCTCACTGTCTGTATGGGAGCGTGGGGAATAATCGTGAGGACAATAATATTAAATCCCATGGATGGTAAGTTTGAAGGCCTATCTTATCATAACAATTCTAATAGTATTAATCATAATTATATTATCACACCAATAAACACAGCGTTCCATGTTTAGCCTTTAGAATGTAGAATTCGTCACACAAGGTTTTTTGTTTTTTTGTGAATAGCCCATTTAATTAATGTATTATGTTTTATATTCTACTTAGATTCTTATAAAGTGAATGTGTTTATTTGAAGTTTTGTTTGTTATTTAGTGGTTGCACAGCAATATATGTGAATCAATGCACACACACGCAGACACATATGTAAATAAATATATACACACACACACACATATAAATGTGTACATAAATATACACACGCAAAGACACACGTGCATGTGCACACAATATTCTTGTATATATAGCAAGTCAGGAGATTTATGTATGTCACTGACAGTTTATTCTGCTGATTAAACTCCATCTGCATGTGTAATTCTGCATGTGTAATTCTCTGTGTGTGTGTGTGTGTGTGTGTGTGTGTGTTGGTGTGTGCAGCTGTGGGTGTGTGTACACAGTGATGGTTTGAATCTCTCTGAATCCAGGCCAGTGTAATGTGCAGCCCAATAAACACTGCATGAATAAACACGAATAGAAAGTTGTGTTCATCAAACCGAGTTAAATCAGAGCAATGCTGGGGCAGCAACGTTTTCTATCCTGTCTCCCTCACTCGCTCACCCTGGCCTGGTCTATAACCTTACCCCAGCCAGACACACAATCAAACACACACAGACACACATTTCTTGTGCGCTGCAATACCAGCGTATCCAGCTGCACACAACCTGCAGGATATGGCTCAGTGCTAAGTGTCTGCTTTCTAGGTAACAGACTAATCTTATACAAAAAGGGGAAGAAAGACATTAAACCATTGTTTGTTTGGGACTAAATGTATCACACTTCAGAATGTTGCAGATTAACCCCTCAAGGAGTAGGTGCAATCCAGGCAGGTCATGATATAAAGAGATTTACCTAACCTGGTCCTGGTCGTTAAGTGGTTAATACACCCCACTGAAAATCAACATAGACAAATACAAATAAATAAAGCAATCTTGTATCCAGACAGACCTCCATCTGCTAGATTCCTAAAATGCAGTACCCTGCCCCATCTAGTGCTCCTGTTAATAAATGCTCAATAGGGCATCTCTTTGTGAAATAAACTTTATATAACATAAAAGGGGATATGTGCCATCTGCCTGCAGTCCTAAGCCCATATATTGATCAAATATACTCCATCCAAGCAGTAATTTCATCTTAATCAGCGTTCCAGCTTGTCCAGTATAATGTACTAATAGCTGGGCTGGGGAGATGCAGATAATGATCACTCCTAGCCGGGCAAGGGGTAAGCTGCCCGGTTTGGTGCGTTTGATAGGCCCTATCTCCCCAGGCAGATGGATTTGGTGAGGAGGCTTAAACACAGATTTTCATAGATTTACACCTCAATCAGCCACAGAAGTTTAAAAGTAAATCCTAAATCATCATTGTTTATATATGATGGACAGGGCCTGAGAAAAATGAGAGAAAAGGGGATATTGCCTTCTGTAGAGAGAAAATACGTAGGAAACGTGTGTGTGTGTGTGTGTGTGTGTGTGTGTGTGTGTGTGTATGTGTGTCTGTCTGGTTATATATGTATAAGTTTGCGTTTGTGTATGTTTGTATCTCTAGGTGTATAGTTTTATATATTTATATATTTATATACCGTTGTTTCTGCATTTATATTTATTTGTATATGTGCAAATATTGTGTGAGGGTATATCTATGTGTATAATTATTTCTATGTGTGAGTATATGTTTATTTGTTTATGAGTATATGTGTGTACCTTTGTGGGTATGGCTCTGTGTGTATTTGTTTGTACATGCATGCTTTCCCTTGGTTTTCCTGTGTGTATGCTGCGTCTGTGTTTTCGTGTATAGCTGTGAGTATATCTGAATACTTTTTTATCTTTGTAAGTACATAGATTTGCGTCTGTTGTGTGTGTGTGTGTGTGTGTGTGTGTGTATATGTCTATGTATATCCGTGTGTGTGTTGGTCCATTTAATAAGTGCGTGTGTGTGTTTATGATGTGTGAATTTCTGTGTTTGTATATATTTGTGTGTGCAATCATGTTTGTGTGTATGACAGTATGTATGTGCATGTTCTCTCCATACATGCACCTAGCATTGTGTGAACTAAAAAATTTACAAATACAGGTTCTTCAAGCACACCGAAATATTACACAAGATTGTAAAGAAGCGTGAAATTAGAATTGCTTTTTGCCTTACACCAGTCATTGCATTTTTGTAATTATTGTGAAAACAGCATACAATGAATAAAAAGAAAAACCCCCACGATTAATGAAAAATGTAACTTATGATCATTTGCTGTGGAAAAAATAATCGACAACAAGGAGTACTGTATCACGAATGTACAAGAATTTAATTGTATTTTACAAAATAAAAATGCAAACAGCGTTTGTTTGTTTTTGTTTCCATAATAGAGTGTATTCTGTTTGGAATATGAAGTTATAGAAGGATGATTGGGTCAGTTACCTTATTAAAGAGAGGAAGGTGGGGGCCAGACTGTGATATATTTAACATTACAGATCACAGAAGTCTATCAGCAAATAACTGGGGAACCTGGCATAAAATGTCAATATACAAGGCATAATATGTTAATAATAATTACCACCAGTCATGGGTGTGTGTATATTCTAACAAACGATAGACTCTCACACAGGGTAACACTATTAAAGAGATACTAATGATATATAGATTTATAGCCTGTGAGCCCTATTTAATAAAACTATATTAACAAGAATATTTATTTTATTACAATTATTTGTAGTGTATATTTTGTTTTGTGAGCATGGGAATAATAATTCATGTATACAGTACAAAATGTGTGCGAAAACATCAGGGAAGTGACCTGTTCAACCCATGGGGCATTCAAAGGGTTAATTCAATTGATATGCAGAGATAGGATCATATATATTATTCATATTACTGATAAGATGATGTATTGATGATATATATATATATAAATGTTTATTTTTTTTCGTTTTGCCTTTTGGTTTAGTCCTTCTCCTCGTTTATATGCCAGTCATAAAGAGGTAAACGTTTTATTAAATATTCCCTTTAACTTTCACTTTCTTTCACTGAATAATACAATGGCATCTTAAAAAACAAACAAAACAAAAAAAAGACAATTTAACATATAAAAAATGGATTTAAGTTAAATTAAAAAAAAAATTAAATATACTGCTTAGTATTATTGTACACTGCAATATATATATACTTTATACTTCAATACATGTAAAATATACAAATTAATAAAAGAGAAGTATTTTACAAAATCGCTTTGGATTCTATTCACTAAAATGTCAGTTGACAAGCGACTAGTAACATTTAATCTGAAATACCCAAATTATAAAAAAAATGTATAAAATAATGATAATTCCTGACCTCCGTAAATTTTACAAGTGCTGTGACAACTAGCTGTTATCGTTTTTATTCCCTACGTAGCGGGTTCTGGCGAGTTAATAACCGATCTTGCGAAGTTTAGAAGAGTTTAGTTAATTTGGAAGAAAAAAAATAACACTTTTGAGGTTTATTCTCTAAACAGTGTGTTGGGATAACATTAAGGTCAAAACACCCGAGCCAGAAAAAAAAGTCTCAATAATTGAAGAATTGGTCAATTATTCCAAATCAACTATTACAGCATGTTTTTTGTTTTTTTTTTTCAAGTAAGTTTCTCAAAATCACCACATATTGATGTATAGGAATACGCCAGTACATTATTTTCTATTACCCCAGTTTAACTGTTAAATTTGGACCCATATCTTCATTCAGAGGAAAAACAATGCAAAAAAAAAGTGAATTGGGTGTGTTTTTTTTTTTTTAATTATTATTATTTTATTTATTTTGGATCATGACAAATCAGGCATCTTTTTTTTTATTTCTTTATTTTTTTGTTGTTTGTTCTTAATCCAAAAAAAAAAAAAGAAAAAACATAAAAAATAAATAAATTTGAAATTGTATTTTCAAGTAAAAACAAGCCGAGAATTCACCTCTAGTTAATTCACGGTTGGGTTGCTAGCCTGGGGCAAGGCAAAAAGTTTACTGTAAAAGGTGTTGCAGTAGTTGCTGTTAGTCATGCAAAATACAGTCTTTATTTCCAAGTGACAATATACTAAGGCCTGCAGGGGAGGAGCTGCAAAATGATTAGTAATGGGAGTTTATTTATTTTTTTCCTTTCATTAAATGCTACCAACAAACACACACAAAAAAAGTCTTAAGCTTCCCAGTGAAAATGTGTAAATATAAATAGTAGCTTAGTGCATTCACTAAGTTAATGTGTTATGGGAGATCTTTTTTTTTTCACAGAAAAAAAATAGATATTTTTTAATGTAGTAGGATAATTCTGGATATGTTCTACAGATTCCCATGGTAAGCACAATATACTCACAGAGATATTTCACCAGCAGGAAGAAAGGTTAACTATTTGGGTACCAGAGGGTTTAGCAAAACATTGCTAAGTATTACTCAAGCCTCTGGGACTTAATGGGTTAACTTTCTTGTGAAGTACATTTTATTTTATTTAACATTTCCAAAATGTCATGTAGTTACTTTGATCAAAGCAAAAAAAAAACAAAACAAACAAAAAACAAACACTTTTTTGGGGGTTGGGGGGGTTGGGAGCTGAAATACTAATATATTGCTATATCAAGTTAATAAGACAGTTATATTGACCAGCCATTGTATATTGAGAAATATCACCCTGGCTCACACACACAAGTCAGAAAGTGCAATTTTTGAGAAAAAACAGAATATTATTTATATATGCATTAGGAAGTCACTTGACAAAAACGCCAACATCGCTGAATAGATAAGAAAAATGAATACTGTATTTGATTTAGAAAGTTTGTACATAGAATATAACACCACGTTGGGGAGACAAGGGTTAAGCGCTCAATGAGGATCTTTAGAATGTTCCCAAACTGCTAGGAATGTTTTCAAAATAGTTTTTGCATAAACGACTACAGTTGCATCATAATTTGTTTTTTTTTTCTTTTCTGTAGCCGTAGTTTCCATTAAACCTTGGTGTATCAGAGGGGGACCCTTTCCTCTCCCCGGCAACAAAGGTTTAAAACTCTGGAAGGGCCACACATGGGACCAGTGAGTTTATTTAGGAGCTCAAAGTTCAAGAGAGAGGCAGGAAAAAAGGAGACAAATAAAAAGACTAATGGTTAGCAAAGGGTGGAGTTGGTAAGAAAGATGGGGAGAGAGAGAGATGGAGATGAGAGACGGGGTGTGTTGGGGTAGACTGCTGGGGAGATATAACTTGGGGTAGATAGCAATGGGAGAAAGGAGAGGGGGAGAGAAATGTCTTGGGACAGCAAGATGGGAGATAAGTTGGGGGCAATTAAATATGGAGTGAATAGAGAGGGGAGAACTAGTTGGGGGTGATGAAAAAATTAAAGAAGAGAAGAGAGAAGAGACATCATAAAGCAGTTATGGTATACGCAAAATAGGGCAACAGTATCAATATTATATACAATGCTTTCTACACATATATTACAACCGGGAAATCAACTCATTATTGAGATATACATAATTCATATAAAATTTTGAAATAAAAATAAAAATCTGTTACAGTCATAAACTATTTCTTTTTTTTTTTTCACAATTAACCAGTAACCCACACAGGCAGTGACAGAGGTGTAAAAAAAGGTGCTTACGAATAAAATGATTGTCTGTTGAACAAAAAATAAAATAAAAATAATAATAATAACTAAAAAAAATAGTTATAATAATTAAATGAGAAGATTGCATCTCGGGTAACCATTAGATGGAATTTTAACAGAGAAAGAAAAGGGGGAAAAAAAATCTAAAAAAATTCTAAAAATAAAAAAAATAAAAAACGAAGGGGAGATCTGTGATTTCTTCTTCAAGCAGATCCATGTAGGGTATAGGAGTTTTTTTTGTTGTTGAAATTTTTTTTTTTCTCTAGAATATATCCCCAGATAGAAATGAATCATGCAAGTGGTTGTGCGTCCATAAAAAAGCGCAGAGATAGGTCGTATTTGTCCTTCAAGAGTCTAAATGTCACCTTTTTTCCACCTGTCCTTTTAGTTTGTGTGACAGTCCCCTGGAAGTTTAGTCCACTGGGTAAGTGTGTCTGCCTAGCTATCATACATCACATTCTGAGTCGCTGGAGGTGACAGACAAGATAGAAGTCCCAGTCTCTGCTCTCTCTGCTAAGCTGGACACGCTGGTGGTGGGACTGGCTGCAGCTGTGGACGGGGATTCTGCTGAGCTGTGAGTGGGGCAACCAGGGTCTGCCAAGGACCTCATTCCGCTCTGTCCAATAGACTGGTGCTGAAGCCTAGTAGGGGGAAGGGTGAACACCACAAACAGGATGGTAAATAAATATGAAATTATGGACAGATTCTGTTTTGCTATATCAATTTTTTATCTCTAACACAATAAAAGGGGTACACATTGTGTTTGTGGTGTAACAACAGGGGTTCTGTAGTACCCATCAATGTCAAGTGATCCTACAGGATGCAAGCTGTGTGAATGAGACAGTGAGTGGCAGATGCCCAAGTTAGGAAAGTAATGTCGTTCATCTTTTGTTATTTTGACCCAATATCTATTAGCCCATGTTATTATTTTCCAATGATGCACCACTGGGTTATAGATAGATAGATAGATACAGTATATGTAGCAATACACAAAGCTGGACAATGCTGGGGCAATGTGCTAATGGTAGAGCAGTCGCTATAGTAACCGGTGGAATGTTGCCACTGATTAGCGCTTTGCCGCAGCATTGCTCCAGTTGAGATTAGATAAATGTGACCCCCATGTGCCTATAAATCGATAGTGGAATCGGTGCAAGCAAAATTACATTTCCCTGTCACATAGAAACCTAATTCAAATAAACACCAAACTTTAATCTACATATTTAGGCCAAAATGAATACAGATCAATAATTACATTTACATTTAATCTATGATTTTTGTAACCTCTTTAAATTATGATTATTTATTATTATTATTATTTATTATTATTATTATTATTATTATTAGTATATGTATCCAGGCAGTCTACATATATCAGTCAATAATTAATTTAAGTGGGTGAACTGGAAAGGATTTAGATGCACTTTTGAGCGGGATCAAGATTTTTGGAGGAATCCTTAAGAAAAGCCCGCATTGAAAATGAAATCCGTGGAGTGCTGATGGCCCAATTCTTTCTGTTCTAATCCCACATTAATGGCCCCATTATAGGACTGTGGGGAGCTGAGCACAGTATACATTAATGCATGTCATCGCTGCGTTTTACATGCTTTTATTGTCACATACTTAGATCTGAGAAAATAAATATATTTTCTCCTCTCGCAGGATCAGTGAATGTCAACATCTATCACAAAAATGTTTTAAATGTGATAATTGTGTATAAATCGTATGTTATAAAATCATTCACTCCTTCAATTAATAATAATAATAATAATAATAATAATAATAATAATAATAATAATAGCAACAACTACGGTTTTAAGCCCATAATGATTTATTATATTTAGCAGTAAACATGAACCTATTATAGTGTGATTGGTTATTTATAAACACGTTAGATTATATTAGTTTATTTGTTTTGATTTAAAAAAACAAAACAATATTGACAAATACCTGACCCTTCATAACTTGTTATTATAAAGTGCAGTTAATCTAGCCTTGTACAGTGCTAGTTTAGGTTATACACAAATCACATATTTTTAAAGCACATTTGGACAGTTTTGATTGCCAAGTAGCAATAATGAGATGTGTTTTGGCGAATGCATTATTTAATTGTGTAGGGTTCTGGGCCTAAAACATCATGTACTTTGAAACTAAAATATGTATCATGTCTAAGTAATACTATGCATATTTATATCTATTTTAGAAATACTTATCTACTTAAATGAGAATTCTGAGAAAATGACTACATATTACTAGACACTATTAAAACCATATCACACAACGCATGTTTGTACATAAATAAAGTTAATGTTTGTGTTACATGATTGTTGGTGACCCATCAGATCTCCTGTTATTAAAACCGAGGTGATCTAATTGACGTTTTCACATCACAATTTATTTTAACGCGATGGGTTGACAATAGTGCTAAAACATTCTATTTAAGGTATTAACCCTTTAAATCCTAGGAGGGTGTACAACCCACGAGCGTTGGTAATAACAACTCTGAAATGCATAAAAATGAAAGATCACATCGTGTTAACATTTTAAGGTGTGTGTTATATTGTGTTTTTATTATGCAAAACATGCATTTTTTTTTCTTAATTATTTTCCCACTGCTGTATTTATAGTGATTAAAAAAAAAATAAAAAAAAAAAATCATATTCTAGCCTCTCAAAAAGCTCTCAGAAACCATAAAATAAAATGCACAGTTTGAAGAGGGGCAAAGCAAAGCTCAGTAAATAAGGAAAGAAATTAAGATAGTAATCACAAAGATATTGTACATCCATCCCTAGGCTTATTACACAATGAAGTGACTGTCAATAGATTTGTTTTGTTTGGGGCTAAATATCCTCTATTGATAGGGTTGTACACAATTTAGGCACATTCACCTTAATTCCCTAATTTGCCCTGACAAAAATAAAAGGGATATAAACAGTTTGTGTCAATGTGATTCTTTCTGTACAAGTAAAGAAGATTGTGCTAAATTTGCTGTGTTAATTAAAGAAAAAAACAAAACAGCTAAAGGGGAGGTAGTAAAGAGGTTTTAGTATTTTAAAATGTAGGTAAGTTTTAATTTGTCAGCCACTTATAGAAGCTCACTATATGTACGAAGTGGGATTGATTCTCGTGCTAAAAGGAGATAATTATTTGTACAATGTTTATATAATAAATATTTACTCACTGGTGTGTTTATTCATTTCCTGTATCAAGGGATCCTTCTAGTTAGTTTAATTTATGCATAATTAAGCATATTTGAAATGTGGCGATACTTATTCTAGCACTATAATATTATTTGTAATATGAGATATAATATGTTTATGTTATAATTATTTTTTTTAATGCAATCTACACATTGAAGATACAAGTTTAATTTATTATAAAGCATTCCATGTCTGTATGTCAAAGCCCAGATCCCTGTCCATGCATCTATAGGTATTCTCAGTGAAGTATACATGCTGATATACAGTAAGTGCACTCCCCAGGAAGTTGCAGGTACTGACCTGTTTTTAGCAGCTGCTGCCCTGTCTCTTTGCCTCCGATTTTTGAACCAGTTCCCCACTTGTGTGGGTGTTAGGCCAGTGGCCTGGGCTAGTTCCCTTTTCTTGCTGGGATTTGGGTAAGGGTCCTGTAGGTACCACTCCCTTAGGAGACTGCGAGTCCTCTCCTTGAAGCAATGGGTTTTCTGCTCTCCATCCCAGATGGTCCTAGGTAGGGGGAACTTCTTCCTGACCCTGTACTTGTCCACTGGTCCTAAGGGTCGACCCCTGAGCTTTTCAGCCTCTTGGTAGTGGGCTTCCAGCCACATGGCCTGTAGCTTTCCATGGGACTCCTTGGTAAACTTGTGGTTCTCCAGGATGTGGTAGAGATCTCTGAAGTTGCCTGTATGGAAGGCCACCACAGCCCTGGCTCTCAGGATGGACTCATGCTTGTTGATGGCTTCACATGCCCCAGGGGCCACAGGAAGGGACCACAGGAACCTCCCCAGCCTCTCAATGTCCCCAGTCTCCTCCAGCGTCTCGCACACGCTGGCCACTTGCTCCGGGGAGAAGTTGAGGGTGGGAAGCTGGAACATGGACAAATCTTCTGGGGCCCTGGAGCCACTGGCCAGGAGCAGGGAGCGCTCAGTGAAGTTGGGCAGGAAGAAGTGGGTGGGATAGAGCTCTAGAGGAGATCTGAACACCATGGACTGACCGCAGACCAGGAGTAATCACAGAGAAAGAAGAAGGAAAAAAAAAACCAAACCCTCACAGACTCACTCACATCCAACATTCAATCATTGAACAGCAATCGCCTAATGACACCGGCCTCATAATATCTCCCCTACATCCACACTGAGTGCAGCATTGAAACATTGTTACCCTTTTCTATTGGTCTGCCAGGTGTCGTTGTGTGGTCTCCATGGCGACGCTGCCAATCACTGTCAAGTGTTCCAATCACCTCCTACTACGTCATGACTGTTACCACTTCCCCTAAAAAGGAGGGAAAGGGGAGTGGGGGTGGAGAGGGGGGCTAGGCTTGGGTAGGAAAGGGGGGGTGGGGGGAAGGAGGTTGTGGTGTTGGTGGAGGAGGTTTATCTAATCTGTTACTCCCCTTCCCCTAAATAAGGGATCAAATAATGTGATTCTTGAATGGGATGAGCAATTAGTGGGTGGAATATTATTGTGATCTTAACGAGGCTAAAGGAGATATGGGGGGATGGGAGGGGTTAGACGGGGGGGAGAAGGGGGGCAGAGTAAATGGGCCAGGCTGGGATACACGTTGGAATAAAGGGCTTCTGACTGAGACAATTTACACATGATTTGCACGTAGTTTCCCTTCATTCTGCCCATCTGAACACTAATAGTGCCGGGAAGAAAGGAGAGATGAGATCATTAGAGCCATCCTCATGTGGGTGACCCTGTCAGCAGCCCATGCTTCCAGGCTGGGGGTGAAAAGGAGAACCCTGGCACTGAGTCCTGGCTGGGCAAGGCTTCCCTTAGACATGGCCCTCTTAACCCCTTGGGTGCCAGGCGTGCTTGCAGCTCCTTGATCTTGGCGCTGAAGGGGTTTAAAGTTTGCAGGAGCCTGCCTCTCTTGTTATGTTTTGTTGTTGTTTTGTTTGCTCGTCTAGCCTTTTTAACGTGTTGGTTAGCCACACATTGCCACACACAGACACACAGACACACAGACACACACAGACACACAGACACACACTGACTGCTTTTCACGTGCTTTTCAGAACTTGCCATTTCCTTGAATGTATCATTATCTGCTACTTTGTTATCACAGCTAATAGGGAAGAAACCTAGACACCTATTCTCATTGCCTGTGGAATCATGTGACTTCACCCAGTGATTGAATTATGCTGTGATGTCTTGATCAGCCTAGACACATGTAGATAAGGGGGCACTTACTGTATTACTCGAAACGTCTACAGTAAGTTTCAGATTTGTCTTATATGTCCATCTACATTGATTGCTCTAACGTGTTGTTTACTTCTGAGTGACAATGTGCACATTTATGTTGGAATGTTATTATTTCTGCTCTGTATTTGTATTTCCATGCATTCTGCATTTGAATTAAAACAAACAAAAAAATAAATACAACAATCATTTGCCTAATGAATCTGTTAAGTGATGGCTAAGTTTGACACACAGCAGGTGCATGCAAACTACAAGTCCCATCATCATGCTTATCCAGCTGCAACATGGGATATGTAGTTCACTATTTTAATGTATTTTCCTTATAGTTTTGAATAGTCCAAAATATACAAATACACTAACGTTTCATCTGTGCCTGGATACTGTAAGTCACTACATGTATGTGTCTGTATGCCAGATGTTAATACATGCATGCACCTGGATGTCAGATGTCAGTACATGTATGTGCCTTAGTGTAAGTACATGTATGTGCCTGGGTGCTAAATGTTAGTACATGCATGTTCTTGTGTGTTAGTACATGTGTGTGCTTGTGTTTTAGAAATTAGTACATGTATGTGCCTGGGAGTTAGACGTTAGTACATGTATGTGCATGTGTATTAGAAGTTAGTACATGTGTGTGCCTGGGAGTTAGAAGTTAGTACATGTATGTGCCTGGGAATTAGAAGTTAGTACATGTATGTGCTTGTGTATTAGAAGTTAGTACATGTATGTGCCTGGGTGTTAGATGTTGGTACATGTATGTGCTTGTGTATTAGAAGTTAGTACATGTATGTGCCTAGGAGTTCTAAGTTAGTACATGTATGTGTTTGTGTATTAGAAGTTAGTACATGTATGTGCCTGGGTGTTAGATGTTGGTACATGTATGTGCTTGTGTATTAGAAGTTAGTACATGTATGTGCCTAGGAGTTCTAAGTTAGTACATGTATGTGTTTGTGTATTAGAAGTTAGTACATGTATGTGCCTGGGTGTTAGATGTTGGTACATGTATGTGCTTGTGTATTAGAAGTTAGTACATGTATGTGCCTAGGAGTTCTAAGTTAGTACATGTATGTGTTTGTGTATTAGAAGTTAGTACATGTATGTGCCTGGGTGTTAGATGTTGGTACATGTATGTGCTTGTGTATTAGAAGTTAGTACATGTATGTGCCTAGGAGTTCTAAGTTAGTACATGTATGTGCTTGTGTATTAGAAGTTAGTACATGTATGTGTTTGTGTATTAGAAGTTAGTACATGTATGTGTCTGGGTGTTAGATGTTGGTACATGTATGTGCATGCCTTTAGAAGCAGTAATTGCCATGTCCCAGGGTTGGTGTCTGCCCACCGGTCTGTGCTACCATGCAACTGGTTTTATTATTAGCTATGTCGCTTTTAAGACGGTTTAATCCTCATCTTGAGCTGGTAGGCGCTTTGTTTAGGTTGTGTAGCTATGGAAGTGTGATTTACAGAGATTTGTACGGGTCATGGAAGTCTTTCCAGCCTAACAGTGTATATTTAGACAGGACTTTGCCTGGTGTTAAAAAGTGTATATTTTGAATAGGTTCACACACAGTAGCAAACAATGTCTACATTGTAAAGGCATGTACAGCCCTCCATCCAGACTTCTTCTAATCTGCTCTCAATAAAGCTGCAATAATTATCCTAAGCCGCCTTTCTACAAGAAAAAAAAATCATTCAGGAATTCAAACTTTTTTTTAAAGGATCTTTTCTGCATTCCGATGGAGATCTACAGGCATATAGAGCCCGAACTACCTCCAGCATCAATGGAAAGCAGATATTACAATTAAGAGAGGTAGCATGGCGTGACACGGCCTGTGTGAGCACAATAATACAGCTATAGGTGCAGGGGGATCATATACAGCACCAGCTCCCCAGGACATTGATATAGGGGCACTTAACCCCAGGAGAGCTGGAACTCAAAGGGTGTGGGAGTTTAATCTATTTACCTCTGCCTCATTCTCTGCCATCGTCTCCAAACACCACTAGAAGGTAAAATACAAGATTAGTGTTAATCAGGTTATTACAGAATATTTAATGATATATAACAGGCCCATTACATGCAGCAATGTGCTTCTGAGATTAAACACTGGAATGTAATCAAACATTAACTGTACATTCTCTTAAATAAAATTACATATCTATAGATACATCTGTCTATCTATCTATCTATCTATCTATCTATCTATCTATCCATCTATATACCATCTATCTGTCTGTCTGTCAATCTATCTATCTAAATTGTGTTAGCGTGAATCATTATATGTGATTGTTTGTCAGTGTGTATGCTATTTGTACGTGTAAGCTGCCTGTGTATGTGTGCATTCTGATCTATGTTTGTGTCCACAATGTGTGCATGCATACTGCTGGGTGTTGATGTATTTTCTTTCTACTGAGTGTTATTCTGTGGGGTTATGTATGTATTTATGTTGTTTTTATAGCTTTGTGTTGTGTATGCGGATTCCTCTGTGTGTGCATGTGTTTAATTGCATTTGCAGCATGGATTTGGTATGTGTACATAGCAGTGCTTGCCTGATTGTATGTGTATGTGTATTCTGCCGTGTTTGTCTTTGGGTGTGTTTATATAATAACAAATATCCAAATTATATATATAATATATATACATATTTTATAGCTAGGTAGCTAGATAACTTATTATATAGTCTTCATATTTGCAGCTAATACATATGGGGGGATACATAAAATATAAAATAAATGTGAGCTTGTATTGCCATCACATGTCTGTTTATATTGAAGGATGTGAATGCATGAAGTGGTTATGTGGATTATAAATGGCATTTATATACCTACAACACAAAAGACATAAGAGCATAATTATGCAAAAAGCATTAAACCCAACATGTTGTAATACAGGCTCTTGTTACTTGCTGGAAAAAAAACACCTTATCCTTGAAATTCTATATGTCTTGTGTTGTCTGTGTGAAGAGGGAAACTGAAGATGCATTCCGTGCAGCCTAGACCCAGCGATTGGGCTTCCCCTTTAAGCCTGTTAGGGACACATTTTTCTGTCCTTTAAATGCACAAGCTGATAATTGTTGGCGTTCTATCTTTGTATGAAGAGGCCTGGGTGTAAATGTCCTGTAATGATTGCAGCTGCTGATTGGAACCTGTCAATGGCATTGGGCTAAATCCCTCAAATATGCTCGTTGCCCAAGTTAAACAAACACAAAAATAATAATAAGATATATCTGGGATTTATTTTTAGAATTCTATAAATTCAGGAGAAAGAGACAGAAATAAAAAGAGACAGAGCGATAGAATGAGAGGGAGGGAGGTCTGGTCTGCAAGTCTCATACATAGGGAAACAAGCAAGAGGGCTTCACAGAGGAATCACTAGCCCAGTAAATCCTTTCCGGATCCTGTAAGTCGTTTTCAACACAAAACACACAGCAGGTCCTTTACACAGAGCAAGCGATTTGCGTTTTGTGTGTGTCTGTGTGTGTGTGTGTGTTTTTTTTTTTTTTATAAACTAAAGCTGACTTCTGTTGAGAATTTCAAATGTGTTTTTTTTTTTGTGTGTGTGTGTGTGTAGATTCTTATTTTCTGCACTGGGTGAAGGGGGGGTACATATATTTTATTTTAAGTTTTTTGTTTTTTTAAAATTAATTTAGCTAGGTTAACCCCTCGAACACAAGATGGTTTTTAGCTAATGCATTACATACCAATCTGGCACTCAATGGGTTATTAGTCGGTCTAAAACGACACTTTGGAAAACCTGTATAAAAATAATAGGCAAAAAAAAAAGGGGGGGTTGGGGGGTGAATGGTTAGGCAGGCTGCAGGTGCTGTGCACTTGCCTGTATTTCTTATTACTGAAGTCTGCTTTTGTGCTCTGCATGCCTGTTCCTCTGCCTGGCTGGAGAACCTTTTCTCCTGCAGATGAATTGTCCTCTTTTTAAGGTTCAGAAACTGCCTCGACTGCAAGCCAGCTCCTGGTAAAGCGCTCAGATCATGGGATGGAGCCAGCAGTTGGACCCTCTCTGTGGGCACATACCTAGAAGGGATATTGTAAAGTGTGAGCAAAAAGTAACCAGACTTTGTCCAAAAACAACACAAAGAAGAAATGTCAAAGGTTAGATAATCTTTCTGTTTGTTTGTATATGTTTGTGTTGTGCTTGGTTTTTATTGTACTTGCCATAGATATAATACATACACATTTATGTATGTATGTATGTATGCGTATGTGTGTATATATAGATATTTATTATTTAATATCAGGGATAATAATTTCTGATTTTTATTATTTGTAATTTTAGGTCTTCTCTTAACATTTAATTTCAGTTTGTTTATATTGTTATTAGATAATGTTAACATATGTCTGAATTGTGCATGTGATGAAACACACACATTTACACATAAATACATGCATTTCCCTAAACCTAATGTATATTATATTTGTATTGTACTTGCATGATGCAGAATGTCTCTATATAAATATTTCATATATATATATATATATATATATATATATATATATGTGTGTGTGTGTGTGTGCATATTTTAATTATACACAGAATTTGTGCTTATAGAATACACACCCATGTAAATGTGCATAAATATACAGTTTAAAAAATATTTATACATGATTCTTTACTTACATGTATTTTGCTATGTAACCAATGTAACCACACACACACACACACACACACACATACACACATACACACACACGCACGCACACGTACACACACACACACACACACACACACACACATTCTTGTAACAAACAGCTGACAAGCAATGACTAATATGGGTCAGGGACCAGTAATCGCTGCAGTTACCAGAAATATTGTTCCCTGTGGGTTTATTTGAAGTACCAAGGCAGAAAGAGCAAATATTATTAAAAAGAATGCATACAAAGAAACTCCCAATGATTCCCACTCCAGTCATAGCTCGGGGAATGAAGAGGACGACGAGCCATTTAATGAGAGTCTACAGTGTGACATAAAATATTAGCACGGAAACCAAAATAAATCGAACCAGCCATTAGCATGAAGACTGATGAAGGTAATAACGCTAACAGTGAGATAGACAAAGGGGTGTTTAACATCGCCTGGCATCACTCTGTAAAGTGACATGTCATTATGACACCCTGCTGATTGAAATAATTCTGACACAAACTAGGAAAATGCCCCATCATATTGTACATTTTTAACCCAAGAATCCCTCGAAAACACAATTACTTTCATGGTAAGGGAAACCCTTAACTCTTTCATGGTTTGGGAGAGAGGTGGGTTTAACCATTTGAGTGCCAAATTACACCTCTGGTAAACAAATGGTGAATGCTGATAATGCTGAACACCCACCTTCCATGTAGCAGGCAGCAAAGGGGTTAAGCCATCAACTATTTGGAAACTTTAGAAATTCAAATGTGTCTTTTGAGACACTCGATAGAATTGTTGAATGTATCAACAGCAAACACAAAGTTTATTTAAGTTTGTCTTTTTTTTAATGTTTAATTTTGATTTAGAAAATATAGTTTCTAGTGTGATAGGAAATTTGAATATTTTATCAGCCTCTTTTTGGGGACCCTCATTAAGTAGACATCCTGCTAGGGCCTTGGCATTATATGAGAACTGCCCAATCAGAGCTTTTGCACGCCTTGTTAGAGATGTTTAATGAGGGCCCCCTCTTACACAGAATGAAAGGCCCTCTCAATATACATTTACCTTATGTCAACTGGTTACTACTAATGAACTGAGTCACAATCGGAGACTGAATGGGACTAACTTGCAGGGAGAGCTATTGCTGATTTTTCATTATTGACTTGGATTTAAAATGCCACAATGCACTGTATCTTAATATCACAATAACACACATGGATTTAAAATGTACAAACAAATTAAAAGTGTTATTTTATTTTAATTCATGAACAACACTTAGGGAATTACTTAAAATAAAACCAGGATTAAAACAGATTTTTTTTTTTTTAAAAAGTAATGTTAAAACAGAAAAGTTTGGGGGTAATTAGTCAAGTCTATTCATTTGTCTGTGTAGGCCTAATTTATACCCAATAAAGCTGTCTCCTCCTGAATAAAACAGTACATGATACTGGCACTGCAAATGTCTTTAACCCCTTAAGGACACATAACATGTGTGACATGTCATGATTTCCTTTTATTCCAGAAGTTTGGTCATTAAGGGATTAAATTACATTTCAGTGTGATGTCTGACTGAGGATCATGGGAATTGTAGTTCACAGACTTATGCAGAACACCCCATCGAATGATAAGGATCCTTTAAAACCTCAGATGCTCCTATGACTATAATTTGCAGCCTGCAGCTCTTCCCTCTTCCAGTCTGTGTTGTAAAATCAATTAGTATTTTCAATGTTTAAAAGATCCCAAGGGATACTTGGGCCATGACAAAAGAATTTGATGAAGCTTATTTCCTATATCCCTTCTCCATTAAAAAGTAGACCCGGGAGAGATATCTGCTAATCAGTTCATCTCTAATTAAATGACTGCACCCATCATCATCCTCAACAAGGAGTGTGTTTATGTATGTGTGTGTGTCTGTGTGTGTGTGTGTGTGTGTGTGTGTAAATACTAAGGTTGGGGCATGGAATATATGGGTCGAGTTGTTAATGAGTTTAAAAAAAATATTTGTATATCACATGAAAAACTAATTATGAATGGGATTATTTTTTTAATAAGAAATATTAATAATAATAATAATAAGGTATAAACTTGAAAGTTGATTCATAAGAATAATATACGATGTAAAACACAGACATTCTATTATCTAGATTCCTGACGCTAGCTGGGTCCAATGCAATAACATTCCCTTAACATTCTGTTTTAGAGAAGTCATGAATCTTTTCCCTTCACCATCTGATGGAAATATACATATATATATATAAATATATATATATATATATATATATATATATATATATATATATATATATATATATAATGTGTGTGTGTGTGTGTATGTGTGTGTGTGTGTGTGTATATAGAGATGTTATATCTATCTATCTATCTATTTATTATATGTATATATATATTTATTATATAAGTACTATATATATATATATATAGAACACAAAGAAGAAATATCAAAGGTTAGACAATGTTTCTGTTTGTTTGTATATTATGTCTGTGTTCTGCTTGTTTTTTTTATTGTATTTGCCATAGATATAACACACACACATGTATGTGTGTATTATACATCCATCATATATTTCTACAGACACATATTAAACATTTGAAGAATGTATTATTGGTTGGTACTCCATTCTCCATCTTTAATCACCTAGTCTGCTCACCCTCAAACAATGTGTTCTGAGAATGTTTATTTTAGAATGTGAAACACATTATATTGGTACATTATGTAATGATGCCAAATTGAAAGCTTTTTCTTGGGTTACAGGTTTTAGAAAAAAAAAAAAATAATGATAATATATATATATATATATATATATCCATATTAATGAAGACAACCAGAAATTATTACAGCAGCAAACGCTCCCTCCCCACAACCCCCCCCCAAAAAAATCCCCCAATCCTCCCTTTAACTAACACCCCCCTGACTGGGCAGGTTTGGGAAGGGGTTATGTAAGACTGGTGTTCCAGATAATCTGCAGGAAAGTTTAAAGTATCAGGCCCCAGCGAAGTGGGGCGAATTCAGGCCAAGAAACGCCGCAGAGGAAAATCAGAGATAGACTTGAGTTGTTAGCAGTTATTTTTTAATTTATTTTTTTATTTATTATTTTTTCTGATTTTTTTTTTTTTTACAAAGGATCTGGAGTTTAGCGCTAGGGTTTAATCTGTCTGTTTGAGTAGAGATCGCTGGAGAAAACCAGGAAAAAAATCAAGACACTTTACAGGAAACAAAGTTATCTGAAGCACCTGCAGTTTGGGCAATAGTCTTCACCTTCACTGAGCATCACATTAGCCAAAGGGCTTCACAACTGCACGTCTTACTGACTGCCTGTGCTACGTTTCATACCTGAACCTATATTCCAGAGCTGACAGCCAGTGACAGGTGAGTTTAACTAGGGTAAGTTATTTTATTAACCCTGTGAGTGACAGATCTGTGTGTAGGTGTGAAGCTGTCTGGGAGTGTGTGTGTTTGTATGTCTGTGTCTGTGGGTGTTTATTTGTGCATGTGTGTAAGGGATGGTCAGAGGAGAGAAAAGGGAGGGTAAACACAGCTCTTTTTTTGGAACTATTTTTTTTTTTTTTATTTTATAGTTTTTTGTTATGATTAATATAACAAATAATGGAAACACTGAAAACTTCCTATTCTCTGTAGAACAATAAAAAAATACATACATTTTATCTTTTTAAAAAAAATCTTATTCGTTTAGTATCTTTTCGAGTGACATTGATATTATGTGTGAATTTGATATCTATATAGAAATATATGTATAAATATATATACACAAATATATATTTAAAATATATATTTTATTAAATCTCATATAGTATTAGTAACTACTTTTTAAATATTTCTGTTATATGAGCCCATTCTATGAGACCACGATAATATGATATCTGTTTATTGAATTATACGAAACACTGGGGAAATAATTCGATATACCTTATTAAAGTATTACTTAGGACCAGAATCACATTCGCAGTAATCAAAACATATATACACCTATTGGTTACCCATCATACAGCAGAGCATATAAAGTAACGAATAGACTATTAGATAGAATGCATTTGCAAAATAATGACATAAAGACAGTACAGCTATAATAGCAGTGAATAATAATATATACATATGCTTGTATGTTTATGCATGTATTTTAATTATTCATTTTATACAATTGAAATTAAAATTATATATATTGTCTGTAATTATTGGATTTATCGAATTATTTATTTTCTAACCATATTTATTTAAAATATATCCTGCCTGTTTAAATGTATTTGACTCCCAATCTATAAAGGGAATTTCACCAATCCAGCAAATATTTAAATCTATGGCATTATCATAATGATATTTTTTCTGGCTCTGTACTCTGCAAAAGCAGCCGGAACCATGCAGTTAGCTCCTGATATCATAATATAATACTGTCTATTGATAAAGAATTCAGGTTAAATAAATATGTTCTCAATACAAAGAGAACACCTTTTGAATATATGAATTTGCAGTATTTTAGAGGTATTTTTTTAATGTAAAGATGGACTACCATGATGTCCTTTACTTTGATCTGCAATAATCTAACAATTATCTAAAAGAAAACAAAAAAAAATAAAAAATAAAAAATAAATAAAGCACATTTGTAATAATATTATTAAAGTTCCATAGGGAATAGAACGTTGGGATTGATACAATGTTGCTTAGAATTCTCTAAGTGGAGTGTCCGAATCTCAGCATTGCGTGCAATGGGGTTTGTCTTATTGTGATATTATCAATATAGAGTAAGGTTGTTTGTTTAATAAATTTCCTCCACTGAGCTCTCCACCCCACTAACGTGAGAGCAGAACTGCCCTTCATACACTGTACATTGATATGTACAGATGGCTAACAGGAAAGAGACAAATTGTTTTTCTGACCTTTTGCATACTCTCTTCTCAACATTGTTCGTTTACAGGGCAACTATTGCCCTGGATTGCAGATGTAATATTAATTTCACTGCATTAAATCATGCTTATTACAGGCTAAAGACAAGTCATGAGTTCAGTGAAATTGCTATTTTGTGTGTGATTTCAGCAAGTGGCTTTTTAACATTGATATTTGCCACAGGACATATATATCCCCTAAATAGAGATCAGATCTACACTACTGGCCATAGTATGCACTCTTTATAAACCTCTGGTTTGCTTCCTATGGCTAGGGGCACATATATAAAATTTACACACAAATCTAGAAAAAACATTTTTTTTTTAAATTAAAATAGAACATTTTAATAAAAAGAAAAATATCAGACGGTACTGGGGATATATGAATAAAATTTCATACGTAACTTGCACGAATATCAGAATACAGATTTTTTTTAATGTAAGACAAGTTATCAAGTCATGTTATAAATCATAAATAAATAAATAAATATATACATTAAGTCATGTTGAAAATGATTTAAGGCTAAAGATAAACTAGATTTAAAAAAAAAACACAAAAAAAAAATATATTTTGATAAAACATTTTGGAAATCACCATGATGTTAAATAAAGCAGAGATGATTCATATATAATATGTCAATGATTCCATAAAACATTAGTGCAATTAAAAATATTGGACCAGTTTGACAGGCTGCATTATTTGAAGGTCAGACTGAAAAGTCAGGGGTCGAATCTAGAACGAAAAAGAGCTGATATTTAGACAGCTATTGCTACTCAATATTAAGTTACAGGATAATGGTCGAGCTCTGCCTGCACTGAACCTGTTACTCACGAATGAGCAGCAGCTGTCCAATACTATTTTCCTCTTTTGCTCTGTTTGGATTGAGCAATCAATAAATTGAAGGATGTCTTCAGGCAGCGATAAACAGACAGAACAAGGGGCAGGTAAAGGCTGGGCAGTCACTGCTCATCAGGGAAGCTAGCATTCAATACACACAACGCTATGTATGTGTGCATGTGTGTGGATGTGAGTGAAAAAAGACAGATAAGGGGCAATTTTCATATCTTACAGCTGCCCTTAGGTGTTTTTTTTTTGGGGGGGGAGGAGGGGAGGGGAATGGGGCTTATATTTCTATACAAATATTTAGCCAAAAGCAGTAAGTGAAGGAAAATAATTATTAATAAATACACAGCTACATAAATAAACACACACAAACACACACACACACCCCCATAAATAGATAATGTATGTGTCTGTGTATTCATTGACAATATCACATGGATTGATTGCTCTTTATCCCAAAACAGATACATTCATGGATATTTAAAAAAAAAAAAAAAAGATATATACATATCTGTACTATTGTTGCACCACTGCAAGTATGCATGTAAGTATATTTCCACCTGAATACTGTATTTTAAAAAATATATATTTATTTTTTTCAAGACCTTCTGCTATTGTAGAAAATGATTGCTTAACGTTTCGGCCACTCTTGGGACTTTTCCCACACGCTTCACTTCTTTACCGAGATACAGTATCATAATAGCACACGTGGGATATTGACTGTCGAGTGAATCGTTTTACAATCTCCTGGTCTCTGCCCCTGGATCTCTTATATATACATTATATATGACCTGGGTCAGTGGCCTTTTAACCCTTAGAGGAAGAGTGGCAGAACAAAGCACAAACCAAAAACATGGGCACACTACTGGGATCCAGTAACCGATTAGAACTTTATACTTTTTTATTTTTATTCTCAACCTGCTATGAATGTTATGCAAGAAATGGAACAGGATCATAATAATTATTAAATAACAATTAATGAATCAGACTTTTTTCAGTAACAAGATGAGAGTCTGTATTTAATATAATTTTTGTTGGGTAATATTTTTTTTTCCTGCCAGTTTTAACCAGGAGAATGTTTGGCAAACTATTAAACCACATGTGAAAATAGTTCACAGCTCACAAGGAATGCAAATCAGTTGTCATGAATTTAAAATTAAGGCCAAATCATTAATATTTAAAAAAAAAAAAAAAAGGTTTAACTGCTGAAATGGAGACCCCCCCCACCCCAATTTTTATTTTTACCTTCCATTTTTGTAGCTGATTCACAACTCTGCACAACTCGCTGTATAGTCAATATAACCCCTTCAGTGTTTCAAGTATAGAGATTCACACAGAAAGTGTCACATGGGGAGCCATAGTGAAATTGTAGGGGTTTTATGGAGAGAATCATTAAATAACGAAAGGCAGCCAGTTTAGCTACTTTTGATATTTTGGCTGACTCAGGATAGTTAGAATTGTAATTCTCATACCCAACTTTTAAAGGTAGAGATTTGTGTCCTTCACAGCCCAGATTTCCAAAACAGCACCTTGTAAATGTTACATACATATTGCCTGATCTGTGATAAATATACAGTATGTTCTAATGTATTCTACAATTCTACAATGAAATATGTGTCCTATTCAACAGTATTTTACTTCTAGTGACTTAAAAATATGAAACAAAACAGAACTAAATCAACCACAAATAAACAAATTAAGAAAAGGAAATAAATGTAATCATATAATCCAAATTTAGCATTTTGGTTGGTTGTTTGTTTTTAAGGGGGGGGATCTAGAGAAATATGTATTCTTTTGTGATAGAGAGTTTCCATTTAATTGTGTAGGTTTGTGGACTTTATCAGGACTAAATTAGCACCTGGAATAGTATTTTGATTTATAAATGAGAAGTGAGAGAGAAATAAGTGAGGTGTAAATATTTGCCTTGCTAATGAAACCAGTCAGTCACAGGCACATATATTAGCCCTGAGCTCAGCTAAGACTAATCTGAACAGACACTATGGGACCTATTTATTAAGGGGTCTGTTCACTAAGCAGTAAGCTGTGGCCAATTAATGATAAACTAGCAAAATTTAAGGCCAATTTAGAGCTGAATAGGAAAACGTTTTAAAACTCAAAGAGTTTGATCTTAATTTTTAAAATAGCCAACTCAGTGTTTACTGCATAAGCACATCATTTTTAAGTTAAAAAACAAAACAAAAATACAAACACAAACAAACAAACGCAACATCAACATCTGGATACATTTTATAAAATATATTTAAAATTTGATTTAAATAGTTTTTACTTTTAGCTATTTAGACAACTATTGTTCCTATTTATTCACTTTGTAGGCTGGCGAAAAAAAGCATTTTTACATTAAAACAGCAAGTTCTCTCTCATCCATGTATGGTGGTACTGTAACTTAGTTAAATGCCTCTGGAACTGGTGTTTTGAGTGTTGAATTCTTTGTTTAATATTTCAATTGGAAAGGGCCCAGATATTGCTCTTCTGCATTTAAATTGGAATGTTTCGTCCTCTGTATCTAAATGTTTAGTAATTCACTGCTTTTTAGCAGCTAAAATCCAACACCATATGTATTAGAACCATGTTTATATCTGGAATATTTGATTGTAATTTAACACATTAGCTGATTTTGTATAGAGGTTCTAATGGTAATAACTATTTGATGCAATAGTACTGTTTGCGATACTTGGTTATAATTAACCACATTATCAAATTTATGTAAGTACTGTCCTTTTAATGTCTGATTTTATGTTGTCCATTTTTGTCAATTTCTTAAAAAATGAATAAAGATTATTGGAAAAAAAACAAAACAAAAAAAACCCAGCAAGTTCTATTAAATATATATATTTAACCCAATTCACTATCAAGTTATTTCTTTCAAAAAATATTGGCACCTGGGATAATTTGAACATTAAATATTGGCTAAAAAGTTAATTTTGTGCTCAATTTGCAGTTTTGTAACACATGTATAATTCAGTTAATTTAGACAATTTTAGTATTTATTTATTTATTTATTTATCATTGCCTTATTTTGAAACATTTCAGACAAGAGTCTGAAATAGTAGTGTAGAAGCAGCAATATAATTTTTTTTCAGGCACAGAAGAAGTAACATACCGTAATAGATAAATAAAAATTGGTATTTTAAAAGGGATATAGGAGTTTCTAGGAGAGGAGATTTTTAAAAAAATCACCAAAATCTAAATATAACATCTGTATGTGAGCATAATATTCAAATATAATGAATACATTTACACCAAATAGCTGCATACATGCTGCTATAGCAAGTTTAACCCCTATTGTCCTCAGAGATTTACCTCCCTCTTTACCTTACCTGGATGCTAGAATGAAGCAATGAAGTTTGACCTTCAAAGATTGCTGTAGAATGCAGAGAAATATCTGCAGGGCCATGGTTTAGTATGGCAGATTTGGATATTGTAAAAGTTATTTATATAATAATTCCTGTGTGTTATAAGAGTATAACTCCTCTCCTCGTCTTTCTCATGTCATAAAACTTATTCTAAGAAAAGCCCTTTAATTCTACAACTTTTTATATGTGAAGTCATTTATATATAAACACTACAAATAGATCATACATCTGACCTTGAAATGTTTGCAATATTTGAACCTAGATTTCATAGACTAGAGTATCAACTTTTCCCATTTCCTACATTTGTTTTTAATAATTTTAATCTATTTTCCTCTATCCAATTTATACTGTGTTACAGAAGACGATGGTGATTTATAACCAATAATATTAATAGCAATGTAATAGATGCTGAAAGGACATGTTTTCTTCACTAGGAATTGAACTAGTGTGAAATGTCAAATCACTGACAAATTCTAGACCAATGTAGTCATGTTGGAAGAGTTCCCTCAAGTTATCATACAATTTGGCTGAATTAGTGCGTTTAAGGTGTCAATGTACCTCCACTCACTGTGTAATGAATAAACCTCTAGAAAAGTCTGGAGAGGTTAAAACTGCATTTTTTTCTTTAACACACATATTGTCACAGAGAACATAAAAAAGTGTGCTGTGCCTTTAAGTGATATGTGCATTCATATATGTATGCACATATCACTTAAAGACACAGCGCACTTTTTTCTTTTCTATTTGTATACATAGTGCTCTCTAGAGCTATTTTACACTTAAGTTGTGCTGCCTGCCTTTTAAGGTATTTCTATTTTCACTTTCAAATTATTCACAAACGCCTTCACTTACTTGATATTTTTTTGCACATATTGTCACATGCACCCTTTTATCTATTATATCGTTTTTCAAGGTCTACATTCTTACTTATTGAAAAAAAAAATGCATGTATTTTTATCCTCTTTTTGTATTATTTTATTGCTGATATATAACTTAGTATTCCTTTTCTGAGCATCTCTGGACTTACTCTTGCTTCATGCAGAGGTTCTCAAAAACCTCTTTGGGCAAAATTGCCATTTATCTGCCAAAACAATACATAATTTGAACAGCTGAAACCAGTCCAGAGTATATTTTTGAGATGCCATGCTCTTCAACATATGGTGTGCCATACGGACAAGTGGTGCTTTTAACCAAAGAGAACTTAAACATAGCTGTCTAATGGAGCAATAGTATGCCAGGATGTGCCCTGAAAGCATGTTTTCATTTTTCGGAACAATATTTATGTAAAATAGGATTTTTAACTGGATAAACCATAATAAATAAGCTTGACATTTTACAATTGCATACAATATTGTACAATAGCAAAACACAGAAATTAAATGTAAGAACACAACGCCCCCATAAATAACTTAGTAAGGCAGAACACAAGGATCACAGTCACTATGCAAACTTAGGAATAATAAAAAAAAGATATCAGAAAAGTAAACACGTGCAAAGAAAATCACTCAAATCAAACAAAATGAAAATCTTACAGTATACATACTTATAAAGTCTTTTTGAATTGGTGTGTAAATGCTTTGAAGAATACTAAAACAAAAAGAAAATAATAGCACAACTGTATTAATAAATATATATATATATATATATATATAAATAAAAAAACAAGCCAAATGAGCACTCACACTTAAAAGAGCTATGAGAAGCTCAAATTTATTAGGTGGAAGACTTGCTAGTTAATTTTCTCCCAAATCACATTTTGTCTGAATTTTGAGTGATCAGCAACTTGTCCAAATGAAATGGATGAATCACGAAACAAACGGAGAGGGCAATGGACGAACAACTTTGCTTGTTTTATGGTTTGAAGTTGCATCTATGGAGCAAAAAAAAAAAAGAAAAAGATAATTCATGGTAAATAAAGATAATTGATGGTTAGGGGACAGCAATACATGTCAATTTTATTTGTATCAAGTGAAAAGTGACCAACAGAGGGAAAAAATTAGGACAGGAAAAAATAAAAAAATCTATATTTACACAGTTTTAGAGCTGATAATTTCAAGTGCTCCGCTACTAACCAGGCCTTAGAAGTTACTCCTCATTACAAACCTGAAAGGTCCATGTCTCACCAGGGTCGAATTTCCTCTCTCCAGGAGTAAATGTTCACTCACCAGTAGCTAGAGCGAGTGGAAATTTTGAGCTCTGTTTGTATTTTTATATATTACATATTTGCAAAATATAAAATAAATATAGTTTTTTTTACAGCTCCTTCTTTTTTTCCTTCTGTTTGTAAATTCTTCTCATTTGTTCTGAGAACCAGATAGCATGAAAACATGCCTAGCATTGTCCTGCACAATATATACATAATAGGTCTATCTTTTAGGACACTCATTGGTCAATCTTCATGCCAGTTTTATTCATCTGAATTTTGTTTCCTGAAATAATTGCATGAAAGAAATTTATGCAACCCAAAACGTATGGGAGAAACCCAAATTCACCAAACAACTTTTTTTTTTTTCAGACGCATCTAATGGGACAAGCAGATTTTTCTTTGTATCCAAATCTGATGGGTGGTATAATCCATGCCTAAAGATATGGGGAAAAGTCTTACTATAACATGCAATACTTATAGGAGTAACATAAAAATCTGAGTTCGGTTTTTACAAGGAATTATCGAGAAACTCCAAGCATCAAATTTTATAACTTACATCAAACTCTACCGGGTGTACACAATTTAGAACAATATATCAATCTATAGGAAATAGAAAATAAGAAGAAAGGCAGAAAGAATAAAAAAACAATATTGAATAACTCATGGGGTGTTGAGTGGGTACTAATTTTTATGAGTGTATTACACATTTATACTTACCCAGGCTACAATACATGTATTCTTTATTTGAAATGATAATACAAATTATGACAGTTTTCCTTTTGCGCAATCACATTTGAATTAAGATATTTTGTAAATTTTATGAAATTTACCATTAAACAACATACTGGACATGAGAAATAAATTAAAAAAGGACTTGAAAAGGACTTGACATTACAATACAGTTTTTAAAAAATATATTTTTCACTCTCTATAGTTTGCTTATTCTTTTCAGAATATTCACAGAGCTATCTAAAGGTTTGACAGATGAAACTAGTACCTGAGGACATTGCACGTATAGACACACTAGAACACCATGTGCCTTTTCACAAGAAGAATTAGAATCTTACAGGGCTGTTTAATAAATTGAGAGTTCAAGGTGATTTCCAAATGAATTTCAATTTTATTTCTGATTATTTTGATATTAAATTTGAAATTCACTTTGAACTGACTGTGAATTCCTACTTTAGTTAATAAGCCTGTAGGTCAGTATTCTTCAGATTTGTTCTTAAGACCAACCATACCAGCCAGGAATTTAGTATATTTCTTTTGGTGAATTCATTTTATTTATTGAACAGTTCATATACAACTGTATTATCTAGAGCACTGTACAATTTATGCAAAAATAAAATGCTAAATTTGAAATTCTGTCCCGTAAGTGTGTTTGTAGTACAAAAATCAAAATATAAAATGAAAGTAAAAATATTCAAATGCATTCATATTTTCAAACACATATTTGTTACAGCGGTTGCAAATAGGAAGTGATTATTATTATTTTTATTATCATTTTTTTTTTTTTTTTGTAAATATCTGTTTATTTCGCCAATAGGTCCACCCGTCATTTTTTTTCTGTATGTGTAAAATATAACATAGAACAGAATAGTACACAACACGCAGGTCTGTATCAATTAAGTGTGGAACCATGGAACTTGCAGGTTCCTAGCACATTTAAGCAACACGTGAGACACTCAGATCTCAATTGTTATTGGGTTAGTTATAGGCAAGTTGATTAATAGTTAGTGGAAAATTGCAATTAGAGTCTAACATCAGAAAATTTTCAGTAACAATGCTTGTGCTAGGTCGCTACTTCGGTGACCAGTTGGACGCTCGTCCATGTGGTCTTGGCATGTGTCTCTCCCACCGTGAGGGTGGAGGAAGTAATTCTTGAGTTCTAGAGAAACGTTTACAGAGGTTCCAGTCAAATTCTTTGGTCATTTTCAAGATGATATATTTGAAGTGTTATCATGAATCTCTGTCTAGGATTTGTGTGGGGACAATGTTTATTGTAGTTCATACAGTTTGTCAATGTGTGGCATTCACTGCCATTATTTTTAAAGAGCACTATTTGACACATTAAATAATCTTACCATTTTTTATTACCAATGTTAATTAATTCTGGCACTGGTTATCTGGTTATTTATGCTGTTTCAAACAATTGACAAAATGCTAACAGGTCAAAATGTAATTATTTAAACTTTAGTTCGCCCCCCCCCCTTGTCTAAAATATGCATTGTGGCGTGTAAGCTTTTATTGTTTTTTTTAAAATACATTTTTAAAATTTAAAACTATTTTGGCCTTCCTTATCATTGTTTGGTCTTTCAAGGGCCGTGACCATGCAGCGGTCCAGTTTTTCTGTCCAAAGGAAGATGCCCTTGAAATGTGTAAGTTTCTGCAACTGGGGAATTTTTATATTATCATCCCTCAATAAAACTAATTTTTGTTATAAATACAACTCTGTTAGTGGCCTGACGTATGTTTGAAAACTTACAAATGAAAATATCTTCTGACAAGTACAGCTACTTAACAACCAACCTCACATGACCCATCTGTGCAGCATTATATAACATAATAATGATTTAGCTAATTTAAAGAGTTACTCCAACCAAAAAACTATATTTTCAAAAAACACGGTTTTTGGAGTAACCATTCTGTGATGGTCTGCCCCCCTTCCAAACTCCCCAAAAAATATTATCTCCTGATTATCTCAGGAGATAAAATATACATCAAACCAATACCCAGGACATACTGGAAAATGAGAGAAATCTCAATGTATCCTTCCTGGTAAAATATTTTATAAATAAATAATTGTTGAGCAATTCTTTGTCGAAATGGTAAATGTGGAACAATGAGCAGAAACTTGCTAAAACTATTTCTGTCTCTTTTCCTGGTTTCCATACAAAAATGTTTCATTAAATACCTTGTCTTAAATTAAGGAAACATCATGATTGGCCGAATCATTTCCTTGTCTTGGCAGAGTTTACTGTAGAAACTGCAAATCCCAGAGTTTTTCCAGCAATCACAATTGATTTTAATTTGAAAATATTTTTGTAAACATTTTATGTTTTTGTAAATATGTTATTTTATAAAATACAATAATAAGAATAACCTCAGCCCGAAGTGTCCCTTGCAGCGTAATAAAAATAAAAGGATAATTTGTACTATATCATGACCAAGTCTTTTTCCATTATGTTTATATATGCAGGCATCTGCATTTTAATGGATATTTCAGTATGCTTTTCAAGTAGGGAGGAGCAACTATCATAAATGCTCTAATGAGTAGCCAGAACCCTCCCTAATACCCACCATATGAGCTTTCATACATTGAGCACTACATTGTCCCCTGTTGCTCTAGAACAGGCATAGGCAACCTTTGGCGCTCCAGATGTTTTGGACTACACCTCCCATGATACTTTGCCAGTATTATAAGTATAAGAGTATTGTGGGGGATACAGTCCCCAACATCTGGAGTGCCGAAGGTTGCTTAACCCTGCTCTAGAAGAGGATATTTTTTGTCTGACCATTTTTTGGTCTCAGTTTGGTGAGGACCATTACTGGAGCAGAAGTGAAGGTATGTGGATTTTATTGTGAGGTGTCATTTTTTAATTCATTAAAAAAAAACTAAACAAAAAAACTATTGAGCAAATACACTATTGGTAGTGAAGGGTTAACCCTTTTTGTCATCAATGGAATTTAATTTAGAGTCTTACTTTATGTGACATGCAGTTATGTGACAATTATACATTTTTTTCATAATTGGAAAAAAAAACAGCAAAAAAGAGCCTCTATTTGTCTTTTTTATTTACAATAATGTTGGAACAATTCATCTGAAGAAAACAATATCTAACTTTTCTGTACACTCAATTCTCACCAGATATTGGGTAAGGAAAATGCCATACATATTTAAATAGAGTGATTACTAAATTAATAGCAGGCACTAAGACAGATGTCAAAACGTCTTGAAAATGTTTATCTGTGAATAATTGAGAAGGTGGTAGAGCGCATTATCTGATTGTGTAATGAAATATGTATGAGGGACAGCTGTTTGAAATAGTCATCTCCGTGTTTCATTAGAAGTGGCCCGATTTAAACAAGTACTTTAATGAAGTTGGTGATTCACTTATACCAATATTGTTCATGAATAATTAATAGAATTCGCAGTGCATCAGAAATAGGCTTGAACTTGTTGGCAGCCTCTTTGCCCCTGAGTAAGGCTATGAGTAATCTTATTGACTGTTAAAACATTTTTCTCCTTGCAAAGCACTGCAGTACATGTCAAGCTGTTGTTGGCATGAGTGACCCTTTATGTGCTAAGCTTTGCTCCGTGCAAAAAAATTAAAGTCTCGTATAAATATTTAAAGGGTTACTTCAAGCACCATGACCACTGCATTGATTCAAAGTGGTCATGGTACCTGGAGTCTGTATGTACAGAGTTTTGCTATGAAATACTGCAAAAATGTAGCTTAACCAACTTGCTGCCAGACGTCTACCTCCACCTCTGTCAGCGTCATGGGGGGGGGGGGTCATTAGCCAGCCTGGAATAAGAGGTCTGAGCTGACTAATGTCAGTCCATTGCATATTTCTATACACAGAATACCATTCATTGGTTTAGGGCGTTCAACTGATGCTCTCAGCCAATGAATAGAGACGGGATCAGCATCTGGTTTGTAACCCAGGTAAGATGGAAAACTGATGCTAAAAGGTTTGCCTCATTACTGAGATACAAGGCCAGTGTACTCCTAGCACCATAACCACTATGGTGGGCTGTAGTGGTTATGGTCAGGGTTGGATTTCCCATAAGGCTGCCAAGGCCATGGTCTTGAAGCACCACATGAAATTTGGGGAGGTCCTGCTGAAACCCTGTATCGGTGGTGGTACAGCAGGAGTGCTCAGCAGGCCGCGACGTCAGGTCCTGACACCCAGCCAGCAGCCAAAGGAACTGCAGGAGAGTGCCCGGAAATGAAGTCAGCATCAAAACCCTGCATGACCTCCTGAACTTCCAGCTGCCTGCAGGAGGGAAAACTGGTCACATTCATCCATACAATCACATACAGCACATACACCAAACTGGTCACATTCATCCTTCCAATCACATACACCAAACTAGTCGCATTCATCCTTCCAAACACATAAACCAAGCTTCACATATATGATGAACTGGGGCACATTAAGGAAACTGGTCTTGGGGCATCAAACAGTTTTGGTGCTTTTGGTGAATCATCCACCCTTGTTGGTCAGCATTCATGATCTTGCTGATCAGTCGCATACTTGCTGCTCTCCGACGATCGAAGCCCCAAACAGCCTAAAATCAGCCCCCCCAGACAACTTACCACACTGACAGCCAGGAAACATCTGCTGATGGGGAGGAAAACTGAAAAACCGCACCCGGACCAGCCTAGGCAATCCATGGTTATTGGCGATCTATTGAGGAGACCTCATGATGGGGCCTAACATGGTGGCCGACATCGAGGAATACTCGGACAGCTCGGACGACCTTCCCCTGCACAGCCCTGAGAATCTGGGATATCGTGGGCCTCATAAGCCCACACAGCCGACAGCGGGACTCCAAGTCACCACAGATATACTCACCACTCCCCTCTCAGGTCTGCGCCAGACACTTTCTGCGGACATCTCTCAAGTACGGGGGGATGTTAAGGGGTCCACCGCTCGCCTCACGACTGTGGAGGAGATCACTTAAATGCAAATAGCACAGGTGTCAAAGCTCCAGAAGCAGGTCAAAGACCTTACCTCGGCTCACACTACACTCACCCACCAACTAGCAGCTATGGAGGATAAGTGGAGGTGGAAGCATGTTAAAATTCAAGGCCTCTCTAAAATCTGAGGCCTTACGTAAACTAAATAACAAGTTTATAATGATGTGATTCCATAGTACAATTGACTTCACCAACTCCCCACTGTTTCCTGGGATTTATTCACCAAACAGTGATTTGTAGTGCACTAAAAAAAAATAATCTTACAAATGGCATTCTGCCACCGTAGCGGAGTTAGGTATTGTCCCAATTAGCTATTTTGGTATAATTTTTAAATTTAGTTATCATTTTACTAAGAGTCACTGCAATTATTAATCAATACTACTGTTTAGTGAACAGATACCCTATGTGTTGCCAGTTGTTTGACAGCTCACATTTTAGCGTATAGATGCAGAATACATTACATTTTAGCAAATAATTAACAGTTAAACATATTATTATATTATAATTAATAACGAGCACATCTACCAATTTTTTTTGCTTAAGACTGCAGATATTCCAGTTTTATAATTGGAATGTTACCTTAAAACCAGTTATGCTTGGTTGATAAATACAATCCTTTTAAGTTGCATTAAATGTCCACTTGTTTTTTTTGGTTAAGTGTCCATTATTGCTCTGTGGATTTTTTAGAATTACCATGACCCCCAGGGCTCAGACCGGAACCAGTCCATAAATAGCCCACATAGTGTGATACTTGGTTAGCGTTCGATGACATAAGAAGCTGCTTTGAATCCTACTCTCTTGGGCAAAGCCACAGCTCAACTTGTATACATGCAAAGCCCTGTTCTCCATTGTGTAAGAATTAGTAGAGTGTCAGGGAAAGGTGATGGGAAGTTACTGGGAGGTTAAACCAAAGAATGTGTCCACACGATTCTTGGTTCATGTTAGGGTTACAAGACTATTGACTCCTTTGTTTTCTTTCTTCAAACAACCCTTTTCCTTCCTAGAAAGGATGTGCCCATTTTCTTTACTTTAGTAGCTTTTTTTATGGGTGTCATCAGCTGACGGAATGTTTGTTTTTCTTATTTTATGAAATGGTCCAGTCTATGGAAAACAAACAGCATCTCTGCGTCATTGGATACAGTCGGGGGTGAGTGGAACTGTCCATGGGAGGGCCTGAGTTCTAAATTTGGTTTCAGACAGTCTCGTTAATGAAACAAAATACACAAAATAATTTCACGTGGTTTAAAAAGTAAAATACATTCCTCAATGACAAAGCACGCAATAATTATTGGAATGCAAAGGTAACATATTGTCCTCCTCTCTCTATTGCAAGAAAAATAATCCTAGACCAATACGCATAACATTTTTAGAATGTTGCATGCTTCCTTTATGGAGTGTGCATGTGTCTGTATGTATGAACATATATATATATATTTAATTTAGTTTTACATTTTTACAATTTTAAAATGTTTGTATTTGTTTATTTTTTTGAATTATAAAATACATCTGGTAAAAGACTGAGAAACGAAAACAGGTGCAAATACTCTGACAGTAGGGAAACCAGGTAACATGGAAAAGTTTTTTACTTTGGCCATTCTGCGATAAATATTGGAATTTAAAAGCTGATTCCGGTCAATTAATTAACAATTAAAATGCATAAACAAGACAGTAAGATGCACAAGAACAAAGGCCAATCCCCACTAAGTGATGCAGATTAATGCCTGGTCTAAAAGGTTGTAAAATCGAAATATCTTCATTTCAATATTATTAAAATCCAAACATTTTGTACCTGAGTGACCCAGCATAGCTGTCCTGATGTATTTAATGATAGGCCAAGATCTGTGAAAGATAAAGATGTTACCTTCTCAAGAAATGGTATCATATTTATCAATTCTTAATTAAAAGATTTACCAGTATATTTATTATTCAGTATATAGAAATAAAATTAAAAAAATAAAATAAAAAAAATACCAAAGAAAGTTTTTTTGATTCATAAAAAGCTAACTACAACTCTTTAATCGTGAAATACTAAAATAGAAGAACATTTCATACAAAGACCATAACAGATTATACATAGCTGTAATTTACACCATCTTCAGAATTACATCCATGATTAGTCACCCATACAGATAGTAAGGAAGACAAGTACGTGCATGCAATTTCTATATTTAAAAGTATGTTTAAATCAGTGGTTTTTAATCCTTGGTTTGTGACACAAAAATTGGTCCCCATGTCACTTACGTGTGTCCTGGCGGCAGGAACAGACAATGCATTCAAGAAGTTGTTTAGTGTAGCAACCTTGCTTTTGGCAGTGAAGTGAAAACCCCTATGATACAGGGACGAGTATAGTCAGTAACAGCCAGTTCATCAATTCACAACAAGCTCATAATTAGTGAGTGAACAGACCTCTATGTTTTGCTCATTCAACAAAAAACGCATATATTTTTATGTGCGTTCTATATCTTTGACTCTCTCTGTTAAGACTTAGATAGAGTGATTGTACGCCCCCGTTACATTTTTCTCACTTACCCAACTTTATATTTGTTACATTATCATGGATATTCATTCGAAATTTTATGTTAAAAGAGCTGATTTTGAAAAAATCTCCAAATCAGCTCTTCTTCACTTTCATACATCCCAAGATTCGTAATGGACTTTGATTTTCGGGGTGTGAGGTTGTGGCTTTCGGCGCAGGGCCGGATTTATCCTCCAGGGTGCCGCAAGACCAGTTTCCCAAATGCATCCCCTCCCACTCTATATATATGCAAAAAGGCGACTGGTTTGGGGTATGATTGAATGGTGTATGTAATTAGGTCAGTGGTTGGATGATAAAGGCTGGGAGTGTGTGTGTTTATAAGTGCGTGTAGGCTGCTTGTGGTGTTGTGTTTGTGGGGGAAAGTTGCTTGTGAAGTTGTATGTTTGTGGGGTTGCGTGTGTGGGGGTGACTGCTTGATGTGTTTTGCATTTGTGAGGGTAAGCTACTTGTGTTGTTGCTTGTTTTTGGAGATGCTGCTTGTGGGGTTGTGTACATGTGTGAGGAAGCTGTTGTGGAGTTGTGTACATGTGTGGGGAAGCTGATTATGGGGTTGTATTTGAGAGGGGAGGCTGCTTGTGTGGTTGCAGGTGTTGAGGGAATGATGTTTGTAGGGTTGCATGTGTGGGCACAAGGCTGTTGTGGGTTTGTGTGTGTCGGTACATCTGTTTGCTGTGTTGTATATGTGTATAAGTAGGGACTGCAGTGTGTGTGCTGTTGAGCACAGGGGCTTAGGGTGTGTTTGGGGGCATAAGAACAGAAGGGTGTATATGGGCGATAGGGGCAGTAGTGTTCATTTGGGAGGATACAGGTTACAATGTTTGGGAATAAAACTGGGGCCTGCAGAGTGCATGTGGGGCATCTGGGGCTGTAGTGTATGTTTAAGGTGGAAAAAGGCTGTAGTGTACATGTGCAGGGAATAGGGACAATAGTGTGCGTTTGGGTCTGGTAGAGGCTGCCGTGTGTGTGTTCAGAAAGAAAGGGGGCTGTAGTGGGGAGTTAGAGATTATAGAAGGGTGGATAGAGGCTTTAGAGCGGGATAGGGACTGCTCTGGGGAATAGGGCCTGAATTAGGGATAGGGGTTTTAGGTGCAGATAGGGTATATAGTGGGTGGTAGAGGCAGTAGTGGGGTTATAGTGGCTGTAGTGGACAAATAATGGCTGCAGTGGGTGATAGATAGTGGCTTCAGTAAATGGGGGATACTGGCAATAGTGGGGGGATAAAGGCAATAGAGATCTTTGATCTCCCTACCAGCTGTGCCACCCCCTCCTGCCTGCCACCCTGAGGCCTTATGGCAAATACAGCCCTGCTTGGGTTGGAGTGTTCTTTCGGTGACTTATTAATAATTTATGCAACTAAAATTTAATTTAGAACAAAAATGATGTATATTATTTACACAGACTGATTTCTAAACACATTTATTGTCCTTCAAATACATATTACTGTGGAACTGTTATACACTCAGACAAACCAGCAATATGGAGCTCCTAGGAAAATGGAACATTAGGATAGAAAAAAGGGACCAAAGTAGATATTGTTCCTCCTGAAGAGGAACACTTTGGAGCTAAGCAGTCCAGCTAATTTGGACTAAAATTTGAATTTCAGTTTGAATTCAGTCTGTATATTTATAAATATGCATTTATTTTATTTTTCCATCTAGTATACTCAATTGCAGACAGGGGACCATTTCCAAAATTAGGTATTCAGTATTAAGTGTTTATTAATGTCTCAAAAATTTAATTTGCCAGTATAGGAGTGAAATTTCATGATGAGGGATAAATTAAGAAGCTTTAATTGCCATGGGACATAATGATTCCACTCATTATAATAATAATCATTATTATTAATTAACAATATAATGAATGATTACACACTTCAATAGGATTTCTCATAATTATATATTAATCACAGATTTATTCTTATTTATACATTGTGGGCACCTTGGGATGTGTCTTAATTAGCTGCTTTCTAAAATACATAGTCAAATGGCAGACAATGGTTTTGTGTCCTACAGAAGACCTGGAACTTCATCTATAGAGGACCTTGAGACATTTTTGCCCCATTGTTCATCAACCAATGGTGGGTGTGAAATGTGCAGATTGAATAAAACATGAACATGTTTATAGACACGGAATGTGGCCTTACAAGCACTAAATAGAGACATGGATTTTCTTCAAAAATAGAATAAATTAGTAATGTAAATTAAATGAAAGACACACGTTTAAGATCAACATTTTTGTAGATGATCCAAAAAAACAGCAATTCTCTTAATAGATGCATTTTCTAATTTTGCTCCAAAAAATTACCAAAACATTTTTTATTATTACATGAAGGCATGAAGACTCTCTGGACCACACTATATTAGGGCTCGTGAATTGGGCATCCTTCTATTTTTGACATTTTTGGCCAGGGGACTTGGAACTAGCTAACCTAACATTATTTGTTACTTTTTTTTCTGGCCAGGGGACCATATGTCAGGGAATTCTTGGCTACCACTGTATATTTTCTTTATATAGGGATCCATCATAGATATATATATTTTGGAGTCCAGGCCAACACCCTGGTTTTGCATCCCTCCCTCTCACAGGTGCCTCACTCTAGGACCCTGTATTTCATTGCACTGCAGACGGCAAGTAAGTGGGTTAATCGCATAAGAGCAGGCATTAGGTTGCTAGGACAGGACCTGCCAAAAATTGGTTACATTGATGTTGTGGCAGGCTTATGCAATGCATGATCATATACTGTAAATATATATATATATATATATATATATATATATATATATACATATATATATATATGGTGATATCCTGGTAAAGACCTAACAGTGCTTTGCTCTGTTACTTCATTTAAGATTTTTTATTTCTCTTAGTAATAGTAATACACACATTAAAAAACAAGCAAAAAAAACCCCAAAACAACAAAATAGAGAAAAGTATCTTTAAACTAACCGTATCATACACCAGTGTATCCTACATCCGAACAGCGATAATGAAATGTCATGCTAGAAGTTGTGCAGTTCGAAGTGGAATTCCACCCTTGTAATGAAAGCACCAAACATATTTACATTTTAATGGTAAAATTAAAGGTACCGTAATTGAATTAATAAGTTCAATTAAATGAAAGTTATTTTCGGGCATAAATAACGTTCTGGCTTCTGGAATCAGTGCTTCTCTGAGAGAAGCATTGGATTAGAAGACTGTGATGATTGCATCACATGCACATCTGATTGGGCACAAATTATCCAGCTTGACGATCTTGCAGGAGGACTATCGGGCCGCATTGAGGAGTCTGCCCTAGATGTGTAATAAAAAGTTTATTGACAATATTAATTTTTTTTATTTTTTTTAAAAAGGGGCAATAAAGAAAGTGCATATTTATTTTTTTAATTAGAATGTCCTTTTAACAAATATAATGACATTTAAATATGTGACCATATATTTTTCAATATGTTCATTAATGTTTTTTTTTTTTTTACATATACACATGTGTTGTGTAAGAAATAAAAGATATTGTCATATTTTTGGAAAATGCTTTGACTATCAGAACCAAGAAATTATGCTATTTAAGTAAAAAGTGCCATTAAAAAAAACCCAAAAAAACACATGGTTGGGCTGACAACAATCATTTTAAAAGAAAACAATATATTTGCACGCTGAGAGGATGTCTTTCTTTTTAATATAATTTAATAATGTTTTCTTACATTTTTTAGCATGAGAAAAGGAAAACGTCTAGCAGTGATTTGGGTGGATTAATCCAAGCGGAGACTGCATCCTGTTTGCAATAGCCATCCTAATTCCCAGCCTTGTAATTGACAACCGTTGAGAAGAACTCTGACTGAAGCTGTTACAGTAAAATGTTTTTGAATTGTACCAATAAAATTCTGCTCTAATCTATTGCTAAATATTTTGCTACAAAGTTGTAGCTATTACGGACATTTTACTATTGGGATTCTATTCAGAAGTTTAATAAAACAAACACACAAGTGTGTCAGATATAATAAACGTGCAATTATATTTGCTGTCGGAGAGTTCTGAATGGAGTTTTAAGGGTTTTAACACAGGTCTAGCAGGTGTGCTAAGACACTGTCTCCATTTAAGTTCGTGCCTACTCTTGGGTCGATTGAAAATTACTGATTGTCCAACTGAAGATAAAGATCATGAAAACACACTTTGCCTTTTTTTATATTAGTTGTTCTATAAATAGGAATGACCTTGAAGATGGTTGAATGTTTAAAAATATTCCACAATATTAAAAAAATATATATATATATCCCTAGTTAAACCATCTCAATGTTGCATCCACTTATGGACCTTAGATGGCTTAAAAAAAAAAAAAAGGTAATATGTAGGTAGCATATACTTGATAGCATACAATAATGGGCAACATTTTCACAAATACGTTACACAACTACTTACTGTACATAAACTCTGAATAAAACTGGTTTAACAGAATGGGAAACAAAGGATTTGATTTGATCATTTTGGATAAGCTTGCAAATGATTTAATATTTTTGGATAAACTTTAAAAATTATTTTTCTAAATATTTAAATAAAAAAATAATAAAAATATATCATAAAATATCAAAATGATAAATTATTTTATCAAAATGTTAAATAATTTCAAAAGTTTATCTACAAATATTAAAACAAGGTCATAATTCAAAATGTTACCCACACATTATGTTATTATTAAAATAATTGAGGTGTGTTCACTAAACAAGGTATTGAAATGAGGAGTACATTTCAAATTTTAGGTTCTTGTTTCACCTAGGTACTATACCCTAAGCATGCAATTTAAATCTTAGTTCTCCACAATTCCTGCTTTAATGAAGAAACCCATATTTGCAGTGAAAACGTTTTCACATCAAACTTTTTATTTTCCAAATAAAAAAATCACTTATCAGAAAATGTATATTTAGCTCAATCAAAAAAATATGATAAAATAAATATGTAAATACAATTGTGGGTGCCTTCCCATTCTATGAAAAGTACGCTATGGTGTGGAGAAAATTACCATAAAGACTATCTCTCTAACGTTAGCACCTTTGACTACTGAAGGTGCTTCAATGTACCTGCACAGATTAGTTAACAAAGGGTACTAGTGATATACTGCCATGAAGATCCCTCTTTCTTCCCTGCTCTATTTACTATTCCAGTTTAAGAATTGATGCCTTGAAGGTTGAATACAAATACAAACAAGTCCTGTGCTCAAATTCCCACTACTCCTGGGCAGCAGCAACGACCATAGTACACATCAGCCAAAATACATATAGTAAAAACCAAAGGAAAAAAGTTACCTGTGCTCTTCCCAAATCCTTATGCATATTTAAACAAATTGAGGTTATTTAGTTACTCCAATGGCCATGAGCGGGGATGCCCACCTGCCACGTCAAGGCAAACCTCTCACCTTGCTTCCTTGAGCTTCTGGCAAAAATATCTCTAATGAGACAGAAAGGGGTATTTTTTTATATACATCCCTACATACTTATTAACCCTTAATAGGGAACACATGGGATGGGCGGCAGCATTGTAACAAGGCTGTGTGATACAATAGTGAATACAAATACAAAGAAACTAGTCCTGCGCTCCAATTCCCACTTCTCCTGGGCAGCAGCAATGACCATAGTACACAAACCAAAAGGAAAAAAAGTTACCTGCGCTCTCTCCTAAATAAAATACCCCTAAAATAGCACTAAAAGAGCACTTTTGTATCACACAGCTTTGTTACAATTCATATTATTTCCTTTCCCTGCATCCATCACAGTCCATCCATCTGGACAGTGTTAATTGATTTATTTTGTTCTTGCACGGGTTCTGTTACATGTTAATGCTATGATTCTAGCAGACACTTGTGTAAAACATGTCTGCTACGCAAATGGTAAGATGGTCTTCTACAAGATTAAGTTAAATGCCGTGCCTATTTTCAATGAATTATAATAAGATTCCCAAAGATTATATTGCTCTTGCAAAAAGTTGTAATTTTTTTTCCTGATTATTAAATGTTATCGTATCTATCAATTTAGCTACTCAGTATGTCTGGTTGCAGTTGCATACTCTTAGATGCTGTTGCTGATGCAATAAAAAGGATCACGAAGACAAACTCTGGAATAAGAATGTTAAGAAAAAAATACTTGAACATTTGTCATCTTGGTCTCCCTTACTTCAAACTATGAATGAATTTTTATGTCTGCAGTAGTCCCTAATTCTTACTTACATGATGTGTTTTGTCATTCTATAATTAAGACACATTGACACTCAAGACACTGTCATACAATAATTTGGAAAGTGGTAGCTCACCGCCAGCCATGTCCCGCAGGGCTCCTCATTCCCTTGCATCGTTCCAGGGTTCATAACAGTTAGTACTCACTGTAATATTTAGCACGTTCTAAATGCAAACTGCGCCAAGGACCAAACCTGATATAAGTGTAGATGTTACACTGTATCCTTTAAAACATTCCTATTTATTTCGAAAACACTTTTGAGAGGAAGCCCCAACGTGAGGGAGGAAGAGACAAAAAATACAAACAAAACTAAAATAAAGAAAGTGTTTGTACTTGACTATTCCTACTCATAAGTATTCAAGTGTCTCTGCCACAGTCCGGGATTTTTGCATAATTTGCACACACACACGGCGGTTACTGCTCTGCTTGCAGTGTGGTGGCCAAGGGGTGCGGGGAAAGGTGAGTTATACTTACCTAAACCTGTCCCTCTCAGCCACCGCCATTCCTGACGGTTCTCTTCAGTTCTTGGTGCTTCACATCATCAGCCCACATCAGCATCAGTGTTAATTTTGGCGGAAAATTTCAATTTAGTTTTAGTCATAGTCCTTGGATTAAAAAGCCATTTTACTTTTATTCGTATTTTAGTCATCTGAATTGTTTTAGTTTTAGTCTAGTTTCAGTCAACCAAGTCTCCAGTAGATTTTAGTCGACACAACTATAATCTAATGGGTTTAGTTAAAGCCTCTATCTGTCTCTTTTGCCCCTTCCCCAGCCCCTCTGTGTCTCTTTGTGTTCTAACAGCCCCTCTAGGTTTCTTTCTTCCAAGCCCTGGTCTGTTCTTTTGCCCCTTCCATAGCCCCTCTGTGCAGTGTTAATTTTGGTGGCAGGTTTCAATTTAGGTTTAGTCATAGTCTTTTGACAAAAAGCCATTTTAGTTTTAGTCATATTTTATTCATCTGAATTGTTTTGGTTTTAGTCTAGTTCAGCCAACCAAATCTCTAAAATTGTAGTCGACTAAAATTTGACTCAAATTAACACTGATCAGCATTACACTGTTGTGTGTGCAATCTTCCCCTCAGACGCACTGGTGACAGATGTGGGCTTGACAAAAGTTAACTCCACCTTTTGTCAAGTTTTGTCGAGCGTAGGAAAAATACTTACACAAACTAGTCCCTACTTTGTCTTAGTATATTTTGTAACTGGGTTCAAATTCCATTGAAATTCCAACACAGTCAATGTGAGTATTTCATGATGATGTTTATGAACTACTTATTATGTTTGGGGGTGAAAGAGCAGCTTTCTCCAACTGTTGTGGCTGGCGTGTTTTGCATTTGGAATGTTTTGTCATTCTATTCTATTCTATGTCAGATGAACTATTTATTGGACAGTATTTGCATAGCAAATTATTTCTCAGAAGATCTTCCCACAAGTGTAATATGCCTCTTTATACCTTATGGTTAAACACAGGTTAAACAAATATAGTTAAGATATTAGTTCAATTTTCTGAATTTGAATTAATTTAGAAATATTTAGAATAGTAAACCTGTCAGCAGCTTGTCTTGTTTACTGTAATCATAAATTTGGAAGAACATATTTGATAGTCAAATCTCTTTAATGTTTCTAATTTTCCAGGAAAAAAAAAACAGGCTTTTTTTTCTTCTCACAAGATTTCAGTTTTTTCCATCTTTCAAATTTCTATCCACCGTCATATAATCGAGACAAGCACTGGTAATTTCTGCCTACAAAGCCAAACACTGTCAGACCTCAGTGACTAATGAGATACTGTTAAATTTCAGTTTTTTAAAAAATCTCTCCTGAACAACATTAAAGGAATACTTCCAACACCATAACCACTACAATGTGTTGTAGTGGTTATGGTATTATGGTGTCCTGGCATCCCCACATTTTAAGGAGTCAAACCATTGTAGATGCTTATCCCTTCCTCCACTACCTTAGCCTGAGAACAGGAAACTGACATGGGAAATATGTTTGCCACAAATCTACAATGCCTAGGTTAGATATCACTGTACTATTTTAACTAAACAAAATATACACATTACAGTGTTTTAAAGGCACCAAACAAAAAAGTGTTTTTGGTGTATAGATCATGCCTCTGCAGTCTCATTGTTCAATCATTTAAGATTCAACTAATGTTGTTTCTGCAGCTCTAGCCACAACTCCCCTGCTTGTGACTTACACTACCTTCCTGTTCATTTCCTGTAAAGAGAGATCTAATGTTTAAACTTACTTTACTGCACATTCTGTTTCTATTAGAATTTTGTATCTGCTGCTCTGTTAATAGCCTGCTAGAACTTCTAAAGTAAACACACTGTGCTGTAAGCTCTGACTGCGAATATAACTATGTGGTTGTTTGAGTCACGTATAGGAGAGGTGTGGCTAGAGCTGCATAAACAGTATCAAAAGCGATTTAACTCTTAAATGGCAGTGTATTGAGAAGTGAGACTGCAGCCAAGCAGACAGATCAGGGGCAGAGCCAGCAGCAGACTGAAATAAAGGTAAGACTTTACTATATTTGGGGGGGGGGAGGAAGTAAGGGAGATCATGGGAGCTAGATGGTGTTTCAAACACTATAGGGTCAGGAATACATGTTTGTGTTCCTGACCTTATAGTGTTCCTTTAATACCCTATAGATTATCCATCACAATCACTTTGTTTGCCTGTACATTTATACGTGTTGAAATTATTCATTGTCCTAATAAAAAAAAAAAATGTTGTGCTTTTTTCTGGTTTAACAGTGTCTAACTGTGGCCACCATTCATTAAAATAAATCTGTATTTTCCAATTATATTTTCATATTTGCGTACATCATTATTGCATATTACTTTGCATGTACAGTATATTTATTTTATCTCTCTGCCTGTCTGTCCTATTTTGCTTATTTTTCTTGCTAGGACATCTTCATCGATTGAAAAGAGAAAAACAGGTTGTTAATTAATAAGATGATCTCCCTTTCTAATTGAAATTACAGATTTTTACCGTTTTTATTAGCAAGTATGTCAACATTGCGTTAAAGGCAGAAAACACATTC